ACTCCTCTCAGCAATAGCAAAAATAAAGAGTTTCACCTCGGTCCTAGAATCACATCTCCCAGTTTGGTTGCTCACAGTCTCTCTCCTGCAGCAGCTCATTATGATGCAGTTCTCTAGCCAAAAAAATGTTAGAGGAAGTTGCTTGCCTAAAATTGTGTATATTCAGGAAAATACACATGGAAATATTCAGGAATGTTCAGGAGGATATTATTATTATTATTATTATTATTATTATTATTATTATAAATTGATGTGCTGCGCTGCCCTAAACGTATGCTATGAAAACAGAAATTGAGAAAGAATTTATTTGAACAGACCGATTCATATCATATCAGACTTAACAAACTGACAAATTCATTCATCGCTACCTGCATAATATTTGAAGAAAGTTGGTAGATTTCAGCACTAAATAAACTAGTGCTGTACAATGGCTTTAGACAAATCACAGGTCCCAAACCAAATCAGACTGATTCAGTCCAAATCAAACCCCCATCCCATCTGAAATGGGTTGGGGCAGCTCTGGATTGGTTTGGACAATCTGACCCACATCAGACTGATCCAGAATTAAAATCACACTTTAAGAAAGCTAGACAGCCAGTCTTTAAAACGTTTCAAGACAACACCATAGAAAAATGCCTAAGTAGGAAGAGAAGGAGAAGGGGAAATTCGTGGCATTTGTTCAGCTTGCCATAACACCGGTCCTGAAAGATCTACATTGGCTCCCAGTAAATTTCTGAGCACAATTCAGCCCAGACTCTGAGATCCAGCTCCAAAGGCCTTCTGGTGGTTTCCCCACTGCAAGAACTGAACCTACAGGAAACCAGGCAGAAAGCCTTTTCAGTAGTCACACCTGCACCGTGGAATGCCCTACCGGCAGATGTCAAAGAGTTAAACACTATACAATTTTTCATAGACAACAGAAGTCAGACCATTTTCGGGAAGCTTTTCATGTTTGATGCTATATTTGTGTTGCAAGCTGCCCAGAGTGGTTGGCACAACTCAGCCAGATGGGCAGGGTACAAGAAATATGTTGTTGTTGTTGTTGGCTTTTACAGCCTTAGCTAGCCTTTCATATATACCGTATTTTTTGCTCTATAAGACTCACTTTTTCCCTCCTAAAAAGTAAGGGGAAATGTGTGTGCGTCTTATGGAGCGAATGCAGGCTGCGCAGCTATCCCAGAAGCCAGAACAGCAAGAGGGATGGCTGCTTTCACTGTGCAGTGATCCCTCTTGCTGTTCTGGCTTCTGAGATTCAGAATATTTTTTTTCTTGTTTTCCTCCTCCAAAAACTAGGTGCGTCTTGTGGTCTGGTGCGTCTTATAGAGCGAAAAATACGGTATGTCTTATCTAGCCTTTCTCGTGTGTGTGTGTGTGTCCTCAAAATGGATCTTTCTCTTCAATTAACTGAGATCATAATTAGCTTGTGTACTATGGAGCATTTTCTTAAGATATTCCATATGCTTGCTAATATGGCTATTGTACCTTTATTTCCTGACGTACTCTTGTTTGTTTATTGGTTTTATGAGATCATACCACTAAAAGCTATCTATAAAATACATTAAATAAATGATGTGGTACATCTTATTCATACACTCAGAAGTTACCAGCTGATGGAAGCCAGATCTCAGGGTTGATACAAGGCTATGACTCAGCATCAGAACTACCTCAACTGCTTGATAGGGTGCTCTCCCTGCGGAGCAGATTAAAGATCTAGGTAGAAGGTTAGCATATTGTCTTATTTAATTTAGTCCCAGATACATTCATTTAGTAAAGTCCATGAATACCTTCCACACAACACCCATAAAACTCAATGTAGGCCTACATATGTTACATAACATACATATAGGAGGAGGTATTGTTCTTATGAATTGCTTGCTGTAAACCCAGGGGCGAGGGTTTGAGGGACACATTCCCTTCTGTGCAACAGAGGCCAGAGGTAAAAGTGAGGGGAGCACTGAAAGTTAGTTTTGCCTTTCTGCAAATTTCTACACACGCACCACCCTGTCCCCCATTCAAGACACAAGGTTTTTTTCAAAGTTCAAGGATACATTGCAGGCAAGTAAAAGCACTGAAGGAGGCTGTGAAATAAAAGAAACATTAGTGATGTGGCCTGGAAAAGGGGTGTGGCCTGTGGAAGTCCTAAGGGGGGAAAAGAGAGTCCTAGAGGGCTGTATCTGACCCCCAGGCCTGAGGTTCCCCACCCCTGCTGTAAACCCCTGCTGTAAACACGAAAAGGGGCCATATAAATTGCCAGGTGTTTTTATTTCTACATGCATTCAGAATAAGAGAATACAAAGCTTTTAACTTTCATCTTGGGAGCCAAAGGCTCTCTTCTTCTTTTGTCCCACTTTCCCATTTGGAAATATTATTAGCTCGCCTCCAACTCTTATTATTTGCTTCACCGCCTGTACCTGGCATCCTTTCCCCTATCTTTCTCTTCTAATTTGCTCCTCTTCTGACTTTCTAAAAATGCATTTCTCCATGGTACTAAGAATGGATTTTCTTTGAGCAAGGAAAACGATGCTGTCATGCGACTCCTTTGTGATTCCAATTAGACCCAAGCGACACATGAAACTGAGGCCAACTTTGTTGGGGTTTGTTTAGCCTTTTTTTAAAAAGCACAGCACTAGCAAATTAGAGCTTGTTATGTGGGGGCTGTTTCACATTTCTCAGATGCCCTATCTAGTCCAGCAGTAATGAGTCACAGGCAGCACACTCTAGTTGGACATGCATTCAGTGGAGAACGTCAGAGCAGCCTTTGCCAAGCTGGTACCCTCCAAGATAAACTCCCATCACCCCCATCCAGCACCATGCAGATCAACAGTGCTACCGTACTTGAGAGATGCTGTGTACAGTTCTGGACACCACACCTCAAAAAGGATATTGTAGAAACGTGAAAGAATCAAAAAAGAGCAACCAAAATGATAAAGGGGATGGAGCAACTCTCCAATGGAGAAAGGTTTACAACACTGTGAGATTTTTGATTTAGAGAAAAGGCAAGTAAGAGGTGACAGGATAGAAGTTTATAATATTAAGTATGGTGTGGACAAAGTGGGTAGAGAAAAGTATTTATCTAGTCACCCATCCAGGCGCTAACCAGGCCCAGATGTCTTTAACTTCAGTAAGGTTGTGGTGCTGCTTGCCTGAAGACAAGGCCTGCATCCTAACCACCCACACATGGTTGAAGGCTCCAGTGCCTCAAGCCAAGGCAGAACTTTGGTAATGGTCAAAGATCTGGGTTTTTCTCCCAGGCCAGTGTGGGGCAGACACTTTTAAGGTGTCCCATCCTTTCTGCCTTTTCTTTCTGGGGGCGGGGGACTTCTCCAATTAATAATTTTTCTTTGCTGAGAGTCAGCAAAATAGGACTTCCACAGAGTTCAGTTAAAGGTCAACCATTCCCCTTGAGTTATGTCTCATTTTGTCCTGAGAAGCCCGCAAACAAACAAGATGTTAAGAAATGTGCTCTCTTGCATGCACTCTTTCTCCCTCCCTCCCCCACTACACTCTCTCTGGCTAGAGGTTCCAGCCTCTGAGATGGCCTCTAAGAAGCCTTCTGCATTTCATGCACCATGACAGAAGAATGAAGCAGAATAAGATGGACACGCACAAGTGGTCCCTTTTTTTTTTAGCAGGGAGTGCCCTCACTTCTTGTTACCTTTCTTTGGTAAATCACAGTTATGGTTTCTGCCAGGTTTAAAAATTATTATTTTGCTTTTTGTTTACTTATTATATTTACATACCACCTTTTATATTCTCCAAGGAGCTCAAGAAGGTGTACATGGTTCACCTCCTCCCTCATTTTCTCACAACAATCCTGTGAGGTAAATTAGGCTGAGAGGCAGTGACTCGCCCAGGGTCACCCAGTGAGCTTTATAGCTGAGTAGGGATTCAAACTCTGTTCTCCCAGGTGATAGATCCCAGCAACTCTCCCCACTTCCAATTCCCAGCACATGGTATTCAAAGGCATGCTTCCTCCAGCAGTGGAGGTAGAATAAAGCCATTGTGCCTGTTAGCCATTGGCAAAGATATCCTCCATTGCTTTGTCTGATCCTTTTTTAAATTCAGGCAACTTGGATTAGGTTCCTGCATGGGGCCTAACAGTGGGATTCTGACTGTAGACAAGGCTTCCAGCACATCTTATCCCCCAGTAGCTCCTCCTGCATCTGTCACCAGAGCCGGAAGCTATCAAAAGTAGCAGCCTGTGTGAATAAAGCTGATAGGGAGAGCTTTTCCATCTCTCTCATAATATTAGAACTCAAGGCCACCCAATGAAGCTCAATGTTAGAAGATTCAGGAAAGACAAAAGACAGTGCCTTCTTCACAGCGTATAGTTGAACTATGGAATTCCCAACAACAACAACAACAATTTATTATTTATACCTCGCCCATCTGGCTGGGCTTCCCCAGCCACTCTGGGCGGCTTCCAACAAAATATTAAAATACAGTAATGCATCAAACATTAAAAGCTTCCCTAAACAGGGCTGCCTTCAGATGTCTTCTAAAAGTCTGGTAGTTGTTTGTCTCTTTGACATCTGGTGGGAGGGCGTTCCACAGGGCAGGTGCCACTACCAAGAAGGTCCTCTGCCTGGTTCCCTGTAACTTGGCTTCTCGCAGTGTGAGAACCGCCAGAAGGCCCTCGGAGCTGGACCTCAGTGTCTGGGTAGAACAATGAGGGTGGAGACGCTCCTTCAGAAGAGGTAGTGGTGGCCACCAACTTGCATGGTTTTAAAAGAGGATTAGGCAAATTCATGGGGATTAAGGCTACCAATGGCTACTAGCCATGATGGCTTTGTTTTGCCTCCATTTTTCTGAAAACCAATAATTAGGGAACACAAATGGGGAGAGCACTATTGCACTTAGGCCGTGCTTACAGGCTTTCCAGAAACATCCGGTTGGCTGCTGGGAAAACAGGATTCTGAACTCGATGGGCCTTTGGTCTGATCCAACAGGGCTTTACTTAAATCTTTATCAAAGACTTTGCATCTGGCTATCTAGTGGCTGGTCATAGCTCAGTGGTAGATCATCTGCTTTGCATGCAGAAGACTGCAGGTTCAATCCCCGGCAGCTCCAGGTAGGGCAGGAAATGACACCTGCCTGAAAGAGCTGCTGTTAGTGTAGACAATACTGACCTAGATGGCCCAATGGTCTGACTCAGTTTAAGGCACCTTCTTATGCTCTTAAGGGCCATTTCTGAGAGATTTAGAAGCACAGTGGAAGTTGAGATTTCGAGAACAAGGGCAAAACTTATACAACCTTTATCATGCCTTAGCAACTCTTGTCTATTTTACTAGGTTTTGAACAAGTAAGCTAATGGAGAACTTTGGGTTAGTATGTGGGATAGACTCTGCAGTTGCTAAGGAAAACTGGGTAAGCAGCATATCAATATTCAAAGTCAAATCCATAAAAGAGATAGATGGAGAGTGAATGTTGATGCTTCTTCATTACAAATTATCACCTTTGAGCTGAGGTTGGCTTGAAAATAAAAAGGAGGTGGTGTTGTGGGGTGGGGGGAGTTAACCTGGCAAGAGGAAGATGAAAAATAGAGCAATGTTCAGGGATGCAGTGAGACAGTGATACCTGCTCTGTCTTGCAAAGTGCATTTGCTACCAACAAGGATTATTATAGAGGGGTCTTAGTTTCCCTCTAAATCTGAGTACAAATGACTTGGTTTTATAATGAAACACACAATGTTTGCAGTTGATAAATCCTGCTTTGGCTGAGTTACCTGCCTCAGCTGAATGCGCGCCAAGAACCTGGCAGTAATTAGTTCCCATCGCTCCTCTTCCTGCACATTTTATTCATTACTAAAGGCGACGCTTGTGCCACAAAAGCTGCCGATTTGATTTCTACTTTCCTTGGATTCGCAGGAGGAAAAGGGAGGCAATTGGAGCGGATATAAGTTTTGACACAAATATGAGGAAACCCTTGGCACACAAGGGTTGCATCCCATATGGACAATTTACAGAGGCCACGTGTGAGTGCTGGGTACAACCAGAAACAAAAGTGGGTAGAGCAACAAATGTGAATTTTGCCTTTGCACAGTAGGCTAGTTTTGAAACGCACACCCACCCACTTATCTATCCTCCACCCAGGCAAGTGAGAAGCATTATCAGAGTTTAGGGAGAAATTCTAGCCCCGCAAAAGCACTTAAGGAAGGTGTGAAGTAGGGCTGGTGAGAGGTGCAGCCTAGGAAGAGAAGGTGTTACTGAGGAGGAGAGACTCCTAAGCATCCCATAGACCTGCCTTTAGACCCCAGACCTCAGATTCACCACCCCTATTTTCCTATGTTGCAAATCCATCTGACAGTACTTGGATCTTGACCCCTGGATGTTTGGTACCCAATACTGCTCCTGGCCCAAATAGCTGAGCAGTCAGCTGCTATGTATCCAGGCCATCTTGAGCCTTAACCCTTGCTGGTGGAGAAATCTTAAAGTCATAGAGTTGGAAGGGAGCCTGAAGATCATCTAGTCCAACCCACTGCAATGGAGTAATGTGCAGATATCCCATATGGGGATCAAGCCTGCTAGCTTGGCATTATCAGCACCACACTCTAACCAACTGAACTATTCAAGGTGGTTAGAAATAATGGACAAAGTGGGACATGAGAGTTAAAAGCAGGGATGGGTAAATACGTCAGTTCAGGTTTTTCCAATAGGTCTTTTTTTCATTATTAAGTTCAATTCACACCTATCATTGTTGTTGTTTTAAAAAAGAAAAATCTTAAGGTACATGTTTCTCGCTCATGAATGTGGTGGAAATAACTGAAACTGGATGCCAGTGTTGGGTGAAATCAAGCCACCATTTTATTGATTAAACAGCAAGCACCCCAAATCCCACACCATGGTAGTTGGCCAGCGTTGAATCCTGGCATGGTGCAGTCAAGCATCTAGGGTCCCTCTGAGCAACCAGTGTTTGGGGAGAATCCAGCCAGGCAGAGGCTCTGCCTAACTTTAGTGCATGCCTTGAGGCAATCCTACCCCATCCCTGGGCCCCTTACTATACTTTTCTACCATGAAGAGAAAGGCAAAATAACCCAACAACCACAACCAGGGGCTGATTAAGATTGGAAGGGGGGGAATCCTTTCTGGCCCTGTCAGCCAGTGACCCAAATAACCCCGTGAGGCTCTAACACCAAGAGAGTGAGCATAGGAAGCTTACGAGGCAAAACAACCCCAAACACTCATGTGTGAGGCCTCCTCCTCTCCTCCCTTTCATGTGATGCCACAAGATGGTTCCAGTCCTGTGTGGTCTCATGAGAACACTATGAGGAGACTGGACACTGCCTCCTCACCACTCATGGGCATAGCCAGAGAGGAGAAGGGGGGCAGCTCCTACCAGATCAAGTAAATAAATAAAAAATACTTAACTAGCTGAAGAGATAGCTCGGTTCTGCCCCCCAACAAAAGTCCTACCCCCCCCCCCAACAAAAATCATGGCTACATCCATGTCAACACTCTTTGAATCCCCAACTGCTGGGCAAAGTCACCTTGCACATAGGGCATGCTCAGAGCAGTGCCTAACATATTATTTTGTATACAGCTTTGTCTGGTGTACACATTTTTGCAAGCAATTTCCTCTAACTCATTTTTTGCATCCACTTCCCACTAGCTATTATGTGCCTACAGATGTCCTCCTTGGCATCAGCTACAGCCCTTTCGTATGAAAGCAACGTCAAATGTGGGAGCTTACTCCTGTGCCCCTTTAAGCCTTTGCAGCAGAGCCAGAGATGGAGGAGAAGGGCCCAGGGTACCAATAGCCCCCCTCCCATCCTTTCAGTTAAGAGGGCATTCTGAAGGAGCCTCCCTCACAGATATCCCTTCTCTGACAGCATGGCAATATCTAACTGCTATGTAAATGACACGCTTGTTGACAAAACGCCTTCTTTCCCCTTCCTTCCAGCACCAGCAACTAGAGACTGAACTTTTTTTTTTTAAAGAGCTCTTTTGGAGACAGAAAGTTGGTGATTGCTAGGCATTTATTTAGCAAAAGTAGCTTTTGAGAGATTCTAACAAATTGTCAGTTCCAGTCCAAATCTCTGGAGCACAGAAAGGGGAGGGAAATAATATGATTCATTTTCTTCCTTGGGCATTACATAAAGCAAGCTAGTTATTTCGGGAATAATCACTAACAAATAATCACTTGACTCACAAGAGACATCCAAAAACTCTACGTTCTGAATGTCCATGAGTCAGATCTGGGGGTTAGGAGTTTTCCAACTGGTGGGTTTGGCATTTAATGGAAAGGCTGCTTTTTTTGAGGGGAGGGGGGTGTCTTATGTACATGATCGCCATGCAAGTTTCTAAGTAAGCCAATGGGAGACTTTGCTACAGAAACATACAAACCAAAATAGAAAAAATAATTTTGCTAGCTGTGCTCCTGCCCAGTCTGCTCCCTAGTTGCTAACTGTCAATGGGCACCTTCAAGGCATCTGCTCTTCCTTCTTGGGGTTCTTTATATTTACATACAGTTGTATGGTTGGAAGGGACCCCAAGGGTGACCTAGTTAAACCTGCTGCAACTGAGGAATCACAGCTAAAGGATCACTGACAGCTGGCCGTCCAACCTCTGTTCAAACATCTCCAATGATATTTAATTTTAATTCTTGGGTTTGAATTAAAGTATCTAAGCGACGCAGGTGGCGCTGTGGGTTAAACCACAGAGCCTAGGACTTGCTGATCAGAAGCTCAGCGGTTCAAATCCCCGTGATGGGGTGAGTTCCCATTGCTCGGTCCCTGCTCCTGCCAACCTAGCAGTTCGGAAGCATGTCAAAGTGCAAGTAGATAAATAGGTACTGCTCCGGCGGGAAGGTAAACGGCGCTTCCGTGCGCTGCTCTGGTTCGCCAGAAGTGGCTTAGTCATGCTGGCCACATGACCCGGAAGCTGTATGCAGACAAACGCCAGCTCCCTCAGCCAATAAAGTGAGATGAGCGCCGCAACCCCAGAGTCGGTCACGACTGGACCTAATGGTCAGGGATCCTTTTACCTTTATCTAAGCGACGTACAAGCTCAAAACTGAGTTCCTGTTTCATCCACTGCTTGTCTCATGCGTGGACTGCTGGATCCTTCAGGTACCAGAGAGCCTGAGAGATGAGAAGGTAGAATCAGTTTTCCATTCAAAATAAGTTCCAATAAACAAGAGGGAAGACTCAATAACAACAGATGCAGACCTCAGAACACTCCAAACAGCCTTTGGAAGGCACAGCCCATAGAAAGATTCCAGATAGGCAACTCCCTACTGAGGGGAACAGAGGCAGTAGTGTGTGGAGGAAACAGGATATCCCGGGAGGTGTGCTGGGTAGCCTGGAAAAGAGGAAACTGAAAGGAAATAGGGCAGCCATCTTCAAATATCTTAATGGCTTTTACATGGAAGAGGGAGCATGCTTGGGTTTTTTCCTGCTCTAGAGGGTAGGACTTGAACCAACAGCTTCAAGTTACAAGAAAGGAGATTGCGACTAAACATTTAGAAAAACTTTCTGACAAGAAGAGCTGTTCGGCAGTGGAACAAACTCCCATGAGAAGTGGTGGATGGCCATCTGTCATGGATGCTTTAATTGAGATTCCTGCATTGCAGGGAGTTGGACTAAATGACCATTGATCCCCTTCCACCTCTAAGATTCTATGATTCTGTTATTCTAAACATTGAAGAGACATGGAGACTTGAATCAGACAGCCCTTGAAACAGGAGATTCCTCCAAACAAGAGGATTGTTATCTGAAAAGCTTTTACAAAGAACAAGCCTGGGGGGGGACCTTTTTTCAGCCCACAGGTTACATTCCAAGGGCCACGTGGCATTGGCGGGTGAATTCTGAAGTAGAGAAAAGAATTTAATTGTAACTTTGTACAGTAGACTAATCTGTCCACATCCTTCTCTATCGACCCATCCAGGCAAGGAAGAGGTGTTGGCAGAGTTCAAGGAAGCATTCCTGTCAGGCAAAAGCGCTCAAGGAGAGTGTGAAACAGGGCCAGTGAGGGATGTGGCTTGGGGAAAGAAGGTGTGGTTGGGGAGGGTATGTGGCTTGGGGAGAGTTCTAAAGGCCAGAGGGAGAGGCTTAGAGAACTGCATTCTGCCCC